CCAGAAGCGCTCGGGGAAGGAGTGTTTCGGGTGCCACAAAGCCGGGGTTTAGGAAAACGCATGGTCTGTTCCTGCGGAATTTATATTCCGGATTTGGCCATTCTGCTGTGCTCGGGGTAGTCGGGTCTGAGCTCTATTCCGAATTATTATTTTAAAAATAAGCCAGTGACAACCGCTGATATTTTACCTGAATTAACTACAGGTAAGCGGATGTTTGCTGACAACTGCGACATTTCTACAGCAGGACTAATCAGGACAAGCTTAAAAATACTCCATCCCAACCCAAAAGAAAACAAAAATCGACGATTTGGACCCAGGTGGTCGTTTCCAACTTATCACGTATAAAATTATTTCTGCTGCTTTAAGATTCATTCGCCAAAGTAGTCAAGGTAGTACTGGTTTCCCAGGACCATATTAGTCCTATTGGGCACTGAGCTACTGATGCTGGGTTTTAGGAATGTCACGGGTTTGGGACCACCTGCTTGCTTAATCTTTCGATCCCTTCCCACGATACCCTCGATGAAAAGAGGGAGAGGGAGGGACAGAGGGAGGGGGAGAGAGAGGGAGGGAGGGAGGGAGAGAGAGAGAGTTAAAAGAACTGCACGTCTGGTAAAATCGAAAGGTTTTAATTCTGAATGAATGTGGATAGATAGCAATGCCCGAAGAGTAAACTCATTAAACCACTGAGAGCAAGTCCCATCTGAAAGAAATGAGAGGCGCCCTAATTCCTGCGCTATCACTTCGGCTTAAGGAGACTTAACAAGCGCACTAATGATCTCTCCTTCTCACACAAGCATCCCCCTCATTTTTGGTAATGCTCACAGAGGTGAGAATTGTGCTTGTTAGAAGGGGATAGATTTTCTTCTAACTTGCTTTGAACCTCTGAACGAATGGTTTTCGCGCAAAGGACCGAACTACCCTGAATCTGAATAAGAACCTTGATACGCGAATCACTGCAAGTTGTTGTTGTTGTTTTGTTTTTTGTTTTTAAAGGAATCGGGCTGTTTTTATCCCCGGAACAAGCAGTGGATCCCGAAGCTCAATTAGACGTTCCATCCTCGGATAACTAGATGAGCATAGCAGACTGCTGAGTTCCAGTTAAAATGCACGAATCCGACACAGCTGCCTCCCATAAGCTCATCCCCAGATCTTCCAAGGTGCCTGCTAGACAGCTCTTCTTGCTGGGATATTTGAACAATGGTAGATCTTTCGAAATTGCCTTTTAACGTTTAACTTTTTAAAGAGTAACCTGACCATGCAATTTTTTTAAAAAAAAAAGTCTTAATTGTACTTCCAATTAAGTTATAAAAGAAACTTCATTCCTGTGTCATTTCCTGAAATATTAATATGCTACCGTAAAAAAAAAACACCTTGCTCATTAGATTTAAAGCAGCCAAAAGGAAGTATTGGTGGCCAATCAACTTTAAAAATAAAGAAAAATAAAGAAAAGGCATTACAAATGGGAAGGGAAGGGCTTTACTTGTTATTATTTCGAAGAACTAAAATGACTGTTTGTATATTCTGGGAGAGACAGGAAAATGAAAATGGATCGTTGCTACAATCAACATCCCATCGAGGATGTTAGCTCATTTGGGTCTCATCACAAGAGGCTGAACGTTATCCTCCAGGCCAAACTACCTCTCCCTTTTCTTTCAATCTCTTAAATTCCAGACAGGTTAAACCGATTTAGGGCAGATGAAGACCCTTCACACTTTAGATTGAAAGCCGTAACTTCGAGTGTAACCAGCCGTGACACTCACTAGAATGCCATCTTTCCTCAAAAAGGTACGTTCATTTGCCAGGTACTCCTAGCTCCGCTGGTTTTCTTAGGCAAACCCCGTTGCTCTGGCAAAAAGCCACGGTAGGGAAACAGGCCTCCTTCCTCCACCCCACCCCCCTCCGCCCGCTCCTCCCGGACCACGGAACCCATAGCGAAGCATGCTGCGCCACTTAATTTGCTTGCGCTGTTCAAGGGCTCAGATTCCCGCCCTTCCCCGATCCTGAATATAATGTTTATCGACTCAAAACACTGTCCCTAAATCTTAAGACAAATGTATTTATCAATGCATTTTTAAGAAGTCGATTTTTCCAGTTTATAAACTTTGCCACCTTCGGATGCTCTTGTTCCGTTAAATAAGCTCAAGTCTGATTGTGGTATTTGAGATAAGGAGAAGTTTGGTGTTATTAAGAATCCCCTCACTTTCTTACTGTTCTTTCTTAGTGATTTTTTTCCCTTCCGCTCTAGCAAATAATAATAATGATGATGATAACAACAACAATTGTTGGAAACTAAAGTTCCATTTAAACAAAGCAAAAATCAATTGTCCGGTCAATCGAAAATTTCGCAGTTTTCAGCGGACCTCACAAACTGCTCCTTCTAGTTGGGCTGTACCTAAGAGAGCTTAAACTCCCGTCTTAAAAACGTGTATCAGAAGCCAAGAGATTTTGAAAAAGCTAGCCCGCCCGTGTCTGCCCTCTTCCAAGTCTACCGCAGCTGCGGAAGTCCCGCTGCACAGGGAGAGAAGGAAAAAAAAGCGACTCCCACCCCCAGCCAGACCGACGCCCCCCCCCCCAATACACACACCCCAATTCAAGATCGCCCAACTTGCCTTTTCTCTGAGGATTTCCCATGGCCTGTCCAGAAGTGGTTTTAGAAAGGCTCGAACGCACCATGGAGCTGATTTGGTTTTTATTAAGCCATACGAAAGAGGGCGAGCGAGAGGGGGGGGGAGGGGGAGGCCCCAAAAAACGAGGAAAGAATTAAAGCAGGTAATAAAGAGACGAAAGCAAGGAAAGCCGCTGAAAGCTTTCTTGGATCAGAAACCCGGACCACAACTTTGCCCAAGAAGGACTTTGGGGGCTTGTTTGAAACCTCTTTCCTTAAACATTTGGGGGCAAGACCATCCGACGGGTCTTAACCCAAGAAATAGCCACTCCACTTGCTGAAGTCCCAGAAACAAAACGTTCCCCTGAGAGGGGAAGGAAGGGGTAATAAATTGGATTACAGGTGCATCCCTCCCAAGAGTTGTTTGTCCAACTGTCCCTGTTTATTAAGGCCTGTGCCCCAATCCGAACCATCAAACTGGCCCAGGCCCCGGTCTTGGAGGACACCCACCACCACCCTCTCTGATGAAGCACCCAGTCAAGTGGATAACGAGAACGCGTTGTTTCCCAGTCCAGCCCCAGATGTTCAAACAGGTGCTTAAGCTTGAAGGCGAAACAAGTCAATGAGAGAGCGAGATCTGTCGCCCGAGATCACCAGGATCTCCGTCTGTTCAGGTGCATTGCCATTGGTTCTGCCATTGGTACGTTTCCGTTTCGAGCCTAGCTAGGCGCTATTGTCCGGTTCTGTTCTGGTTTAATCGGGTCAAATTCCCGAAACTTCCGAAAGATTGGTTCCCTTCGGTCTGCCTCGAGAGACGGATTGGAATCAACTCCCGGTATCTGATCCCCGCTTCTCTCCCAGAACAGGGCTCGCCAAAACCCCCCCCTTTTTTTTTTTTGCCATCTAGAACATATTTTTATTTGTTTTTCCACCAAATCTCTTTCCTGGAGGATAGTCTCGAGCTCTCCCGCCTCCCTCGTTTTTAAATAACCGGCCTTCTTTTTTTAAACCGACCTCGGAGTAAACGATGCTCCCTCCCTGGTGAGGTGAAATAAGTGTAGCAAAGGCCGCGCGAATAAAGGGTTAAGGGTGCTTTTGACCGAGAAGCCGCGGATCCCGTTTGCTTAATATCTTTATTACTGGAGAGAGAGAGAGAGAGAGAGAGAGAATGGAAACCAGATGTGGGAATGGAAAAAAGAGAGATTACGGATGGAGAAAATGTAGCGTAAAGGGGCAGCAGGAGTTAAAGCAGGAGAGGAGGAGTGGCGATATTTTTTTTCCCCCTGGATCCATTACTGAGGCCTGGAGAAGTGGGTCTCCCCCAAAGTAAACCTCCAAAGCACCTTGGGAAGCGGAGGGGAGAAACCCTTTCCGGCATCCAGGTGGCGGGACAAACGTTTGCTTAAACCACTAGCGGGAAAGAGTTGCCTATTTGGATTAGTGGGAGAGGACAGCAGAGAAGACACCCCCGCCTGTAAATTCTAGGAAAGTGTGTCCCTTTATTGACCAAAATTCGATCCAGGCGGGTAATCAACCGGTGAAACTTTCTTCTTTTCTTTTCTCTTGAAAGCTCCTCCAGTTGAATGTATATACCTGCTGTTTTCCACCCAGGAGCTGGGAAAGAGAGTAATTAAAGCCAGTTAAGGGGATAGGCTGCCTAACAGAGCTGACCAAATGACCTCGACGTTGACGGTCATTCTTTCCGGTCAGCAAACCCAAAAGAGCTGCCCGGCTAACAGCTCAGAAGAAGGGAGGAAAGAGGGCCGGAGGAATCGGCCCAGGAATGGCCGGAGGAGGAACGCCTCGGAGTCGGCCGGCTCTTCCGCCCCGCGCACCATCTCAACCGGCAGCCACAATTGCATCACCGCCATGCGGCCTCCTGGCTTCTATATTGTATTGCTTTCTAATGGTTATTTAAAAACAAACAAATAATGCAGAAGCAACAAACAAGAAAGCCTGCCCTTTTTCTCCCTGGCTTCCCCCTTCCCGCCTGCCGTTCTTTGCGCGGATGGATTGGGCAGCGCCGGGCGAGAGAGCCGCTTTCAGGGCCCGAGGGGAGGAGGAGGAGGAGGAGGAGGGAAACCTGGGGAAGGAGAGAAGAGGGGCTGAAGGAAGAGCTCCTTCTCTCTCTCCTACCTCCCCTCCTGGTGAGCCCCTTTCCCCTTTTACTGGGGGGTGGGTGGGGTGGGACGGATCTGCTCAGCTCCGGAGAACATCTGACTCTGCTTAGTGCTGGCTAGCCCAACCGTCTGTGTGCGGGTGTGTGGCTGCGTGTGTCGGTGAGTGTGTATGTGTGCATGAGCGTGCGGGGGGGGGGGGAGGGTGGGGGGAATCCAGAGAAAGGCTCTCTGGCGATGCGTGAGGACACTGCTGCCGGGGCCTTTTAATTTTAGGCATGAATGCTGAGAGTTGCGTGCCGTTCTGCGATCCGACGGCTGCTACCATGGATTCCTTCTACAACGCCGCCTCGCAAGGCAGCGTCGACGGCTCCTCGCCTTTTAGGGCATTTCCCGGCAGCAGCGACAAATTCAGCTCCGCTTTCCTGGCCAGCAAAGGACAAAGCTTTGGAGACAGCGGCGGAGGAGGCGGCGGTAGCAGCGGCAGCAGCAACAACAGTCCCAAGCGCCGGAGCCGCTACAGCCAGCCGGAATGTCCGTCTCTGGACGGCAGCGGCGCGCAGCAGCCACAGGCGCTCCCGACCGCCGCCGCCGCTTCCACCACCACCGCGGCCGCCGCCTTTAACAAGTACCACTTGCAGCCCCCGCCGCCGCTCTACGGGCAGCGCGGCTCTTGTAAAAGCCCCCCGAGCAGCAACCTCAAGTTGCAGGACGCCAGCGGCCACAACGGAGCCCTGCAGCTTTCTTGCTTCGGTGAGTCACCGGATCGATCGGGGCCGGGGCTTGATGGGGCGGGAGGTCCTTGCGAAAAAGCAGCCCTGGCGGGTTGTTTCTATGGACCGCCCTCGGCATTGGCCCTCTGGGCTGGGAATTCCTGGTGCGCTTCTTTTTCGGTGTATCCGTCCTGTTCTCGGGGTCTTAAATGGGGCGCGGGTGTCTCTCCTTTCTCCCCTTCCTTCTTCGCAAAGCAGAGCGGTGGCAATTCAGGGCTTCCTTCTGGATTCGTAGCTGAAGGGGAAGTCCATGGCCTCGGCGATGGGAAGCAAACGGCCGTTTAGGAAGGAAAGGGCATCGCCAAACCTCAGCCTCCGAAAGGAGATTGTGCCGCCCACTGTCTGGTTGAGCGGGGAGAAGGAGACTTGCAAATGGCCTCATCTAACGGGTTCACACGCTGTTGGGTTGAACATCCCGTTCTGGGATGAACAATCCACTACTACGGTATCAACTTGATAGTTTTCCCTGCGATTTAAAACAAAACTAAACTATGATTAAGATATTATTACATTTATAACATAGCTGTTTCTTATTTTGTACCTGAAGATGCTTCTTGGCTTGGAAGGAATTTCCTGGAATTGGGGAGGAATTTATTTCAAAATTACGTATTCTCTTTCAGAAAAAAAAAGCAGTGAAAGTCTGGAGGGAAATTGGAGGCAGAAAAGACCATCTATTTGGGTGGTTGGTTTCTAATCCCGTGGCAAAGGTTGACTCCTAATTCTGTTTTGCTTCGTTTCTCCTGTCCTGCCCAAATGCCCCAAGAAGAGCACAGTAATCACATATTTAGAATCCCCAAACAAAGCTCTCCCCCTTTCCAGATAGACAGCTCAAGTCTTCGGCCTTGAACTTCTGAGCACCACCCGCTAACACGTTTTGTCATTTAATTAGGCGCATGGAATTCATGAATAGCTTATCCTGGATTCGTTCTCAGTATGCGTTACAGAAGTGGTTAAAATGAAAGCAAGTGTTTGCTTAGGCGATTCTTCTGGGAATATTAGCAATAAGGAAAGTGAAAATAAAATTATCTCTCTGTATCTTTCCTCTGCCAGCTCCCTCCCTCCTTGTAAAAACTTCCTTTAAGGTCATCCCAACTGTCTTGTCTTTGCAGTCCTGAAAAACGTCTCTGCTTGGACACAAAAACAAACCAGCTTTTAAAAGTTTGTGATTAGCGACCTTAAATAAAAAGTTATATATAAAAGTAGTCCTAAAAATACATTTCGAAGCCACATTCTGTTTTCAAGAAAATTATTTAGAATTTGGGAAGCTCTGGTTTGCCAGGAGATGTGATTTCATTCCTCCACATCCATCTCTTCCGTCTAACCTTCTTAAAATTTGCTGATCGCTTTAATGTCCCAGTTATTTCAATCGGTGAAATCTGGCTGGGACACGACCAATACAAAAGGAATAACTGGAGTTGAGCTTATTTCAGCATCCTGCAAGCTGCTGCTGAGGAGCTTTTATTCTGTACTTATCCTGTAACACTCACCACCACCACCCCAAAAAAACCATTAGCACCTCTTGACTTTCAAGGGGAATCAGAAGCCCGTATCTTTCGACATCTTTGTAGCGGGGATTGCCTTTCCTTGCTGCGTTTCTTAGCGAGTTACTTGTGGGGGGGGGGGGATCCACCCTTGTCTTTCTCTAATTTACTTTCCCGCTTCCACAAACAGCCCTTTCGATCTATTTAAGAAGATTGGAAATCTGGGTGCGTTTGGACCTAGAGGAAAAACGTTGGGGGTTGAGGTTACGTTAATAAGCCATCTGTCGCCAGGAAAGCAAAGAGATCCTCCTGTCTACCTTATTTTCTGGCTTCACTCACTGTTAGATCAGGTCCCAGAGTCCAACTGAATTTTCCCTCCTGTTCGCTATGCGAGAAGGATCATCGGAAGACACCTTAAAGTCAGTTGTTCAATTGCGCCGCCAACTAGGTGCCCAGGATCAAGTACAGATTAGGGGGCGAAGGGTTCTCAAATAATCTTATCAACCTTACAACTAAAGAAAATTTATCCAGGTAATCTACGTTGTGTGGGTGCCTTTTTTTTTCTGCAGTGCCTTCCTTTTTCAGAAATGCGTTGACAAAGGACAAACCTAGATTTTCTTTCTGCCCACCTCCAACATGACTAAGAAGCCGAGAAGGCGTTTTATATCCATTTCACGCAACTTTGCTCACACAACCGCATTGGCAACAGAGACTCGTTTGGTTATTGCCCAATTTGCAGTCCCGTTCAGGTGCCCAGTCTTCAGGGAAATGGAGTTGGAAGCTTCATTAAAGTCAAGCTAGGAAGATGGGAAAGGCAGGCCCTGGACCCCTCAACCAGTCTCTTTCCAAGGAGATTTCGATAACTGATTTTGTCTGTAGGATATCTTCTTCCTCATTTGCTTCCTTAGGGCAAATGAGCGGTAAGTAGGTTTCTTCCCCAAGTGAGCATATAAAATAGAAATAGAAAAGCGGGGCTAAGCTTGAAATTTCTTGGGGCAGAACCGCTCGAAGAGGGAAGCTCCGGCACCCACACAACGACCCCTTTTTTTATGCCAAGGGAGAAGAAATAAATGGCCCCGATTCCAATCTGCCTTTTAAAAAATATCACCCTATGGAGCGTTCCCAGGGTTAAGCCCAAAGGGAGCGAACGAGCGACGGGACAGGACAGAGAGGCTTTACGCGCGCTTTTTTTTCCCAAGCGGTTCACTCGGTGAGAGGCAAAGTCTGTCAGAGCCCTGAATGGCCTCGGTAAAGGTCGGCAATAGCCAAATATTCACCTGCACCGGAAGATGTCTATTAACCGCCACTTTTCCCTTTGGCTTTTGGGGTGATAAATTGGGGAAACAAGGAGGGGGAAGGAGGGCCTCTCCGAAGGAAATATTCCCGACACCTGGCTTGGATCTGTTCTGAATAACCATTTGCGCGGTTGGACGCCCCTAATAGCTCTGCGCCGCAGAATCAGCTGATTCTAGCCCTTGTGTCTGAATCTTTAAACCAGATGCTTTTGAGGTCCGTGATTGCTACCATTTGATGGAGACGGGAATGGCCACTGAAAATCATTGGTTTCTTCCTCGACCCAATTGTGTTAACATGGAGGAAGCCGTAATCCCTAGCCATGTTTAGAGGAAATCCCAAGGGAATCGTGCTTGCTTAATTTCCAAATTAATTAACGTTAATGTTCGGTAGTATTTGCGCTACGTTCACTATAAAACAAAGAAGCCCGAATGATAACCGACCGCCGTCCCTTGAGAGAAAAATCCCGATCACCTTCCCTGTGATCTTCGCCTTTGGGACCGTTAAATGGGGGTGGGGGGTGTAAGGTGGCGATCGATTAAATGTTTGAAGGATTTCCAAGCACCTTTCAGTCGGAGGCGCATTTTCAAAGCAGCGCTCCGTAGCGTTGTGTGTGATGTGGCTTGAGGGACAAAGCAACTTAATGGGAACCTCCTGGATGTGTGGGAACAATGAATCACAATAATAAGGAATATTGTTGAAAGAATAGTTGCCGATTAGCATGAAGCGAAAATTGGGGAGTGAGGTCTGCCAGTTATGGGCGCATGAAATAAATCGTACTTCCCACCAGAAATAAACCGGCCTCAATAAAGTCTCCAACATTGGAAATGGGACTCTGAATTCAAACCGGAGCAAAGCGTTCGTTTGGGGAAAGAGAGGCAAGTAAAAGCGGGATAAAGTTCTCGCACGTTCAAAAGCTAAATTAAGTCCTCACATAGGCCGTTTCATCGGCCCTGCGGTGGCAGATGAAAAGGAAACGGTGCTCCGGTGGCGCTGGTGTCCAATGCAGCTCTTTCTCTAGTGAAAACGAACGTTTTTTCCCCCAGGACCGAGCGATAGCAATCGCGGACCCAAGTCCGTACTACCGAAGCGGTTCATATGTGTAAGGTCCTGCCAAGCATAAACGGCAAGTAACTCGAACATAAACGGCAAGTAACGTGAACTCCATGAAAGGCCGACCATCTCCCTATAGAGAAGGCGGCAAGATTTGGGGAGAATCTCCAGATCTCCTGCGAGAGGAGCCTTCAGGGAGAGGGAAATGCGGCCCTTACAAGGAAGGAAGCGCCTGGAAACTAGTGGGCTTCTCGGTCACTTTCTTTAGCTTTCAAGGCGGTGCCTGTTGAATCGCAAACACCCTTCGCGGCCTGCGGCAGTGGGTACCCATGACAAGCTTTGTTTTCCAATGGGGTTTGTTCGGCAAACCTACCGGCCTTACCGGCCAAGCCCTGTTAACATTTCAGCTTTAAAACTATTGGCGTCATTTGGGGTTTTTTTCTCAGGAATCCATTCCCGCCTTTTTTGTCAAGCGGTGCGGCCTAGCCCGTGCCTTGCCTCCTCCAACTTAGCTCGCCGTCTTTGACTCCAGAGGGAATCGAGATCAATAAGAAAAAACCTTTCGGACATCTTCCTCGATCCACCTCTCGGCACCCTGGTCGTGAATTTCTTAAGGCCGCCGTCGTCCCTTACATAGCTTTGTACAAGCTCGGATCCCCCAGATGCGGGCGAGCGAGCGAGCAAGCAACGCTTCCCACCCTTCGCGATGAATGCCGGGAATGGTAACCGACGCCAGTCGGAGACCGCCGCTACAGGCCCCTGTCTGGAAACCGAGGTTATCCCGAGGAACCAGAGCGATGCTTCCGGAGGCCTCAGAGCCATTTCTGAGGGTACCTACGGGTACCAGCGGCCGAGCTTTGCAGATCGATTTAGGCAGAGAGGCGACAATGTGGAGTCTGTTTTTGGTAGGCATTAATAATCCCATCGCCTCAGTGAGGAATAAGGCTGTATATATGCTGGGAAAGGATAGAAAACTAATTAAAATTTCTTTGAGAGTCTGCTTAAGAAGTGTGTCCCCTCTTCTTCCCCGCCTCAAAGCCCCAGTTTATCTCCAGCCCTGTTTCTCCAGGTCCAAGTTCAGGCTCTCCAGCACTGGAGCAAGGCAGGGCAGGGCAGGGCAGGGCAGGGTGGGTGGGTTTTGAGTCCATCTTCT